CGTTCTCGTAGCCATCACAAACACAAACTATTAGTTTTAGTTCAGGTCACGGCCAGTTTAGTTATTTGAACTTCTCTAAATGGTTGTGCCTCCCAGCCCTATTGCTCAGCGAGGCTGAGGCACTGAGTCTAAATAAGGCAGAAGATGATTGTTTTTTAAACCAAACTTTAAAACCTGCAGAGAGCCACATTAGTAAGACCAAGCAAAAGAGATGAATTTTTCAACTAAGTTGTACCAAGATACTAACCTTGTTTTTTGTCATCTCATGTTTTCTCTCAGCACCAGTATTTGCAGTACATTTGCACAGGTGGAGCTTGTCTTTTTGTTACACATATTCCCTCTGAAGACAGAACAACGTTTTTTTGGTGAGCTGGCTTACCCTACGTGAGCAAAGCCCACTCAGCTGAGGACCATACAGATACTTTACTGCATTTACACTCACATATTACATAGACACTCCTTAGAACCCTTCTTATGGCTCCATATCTGACATGCACATACCTGATGCTAGTCAATAAAAACAGTTCACTTGGTCAATGGCGTGCTCCAGCAGCTCTGGATCAAGCTTGGTTGGTGGGGTGAAGACACACAGGCTCTGCCATCCTCTGAGACCTTCAGTGAGAGGCAAACTTGGTCTGCAAAGAGCATCAGCTCCAGCCAGATCCAGCCAAGTTGTGGGTGATATCTGCAGGACAATTGCAGTGCAGTTGAGATGTGCTCTGTGACGGTGGTATCCACAAAAAGGTCAGGGTCTGCTGGGCATCAGGCTAGTGCAGCAACTCAGATTTCATGAAGCAGAGGCCTTGTGTCACTCTATCCACAAGCTTTTCTTCATGTGTCTGGATATTGTCATCTAAGGAATGACATAAAGGAACTCCTTCCTTGCATTTTGCCAATACAGGCTTGCAGTGAAGCAGCATGCACAGAGGATCTGGCTCTGGAATCGGCAGAGCTCTAAGCATATACAATATTTTCCAATTTCCTGGTGGGTTCCATGTACTGCAAAGAGAGTTTAACTTTTTAACTAGATCATTAAAAGTGTTGGCAAGATGGTGTTGGTCATGTCACTGAGCTGGTTGCTGCATCACTGTAATTGCTATTAATCAATAGCATCTTGGAGCTGTTTTGCTCAGCTAACAGGTTCCAAATGACTTGATGCTTAAGTGAAAACAAAGAGACTTTTTTTTTCTGTGCATCTTCTTTTCACTCTTTGTACTGCATATTAAAAATCTACTTTCTGGATCCTGCTATCAGATAATCTGGGTATAATTAATGCCTGAGAACATTTGTTTCCTGCCTTACTTTTACAAGAAGGAAGTGCGATATTCAGATTTTCTTTCATTAAAATAAAAAAAGAAAATATATTAGGTTTTAAAGTCAATAATTGCTGGAGTAGTAGCTACATGGATGTCTAATTCTGCGAAGAATGAGAAGAAAAGGAAGCCCAGGGACTTTATCCCCAAAGCAGATCAAAATCCAAGTGTTCAAACAGTAACTTAATTGCTGTAACCCATTATTGAGATGAAGTGATTTCATCCTTGCTGTCCTGTGAAACAAGACTCCCAGATACTGCATGGGGAAGAACAGATGGAGGGGTGTCAAGAGTGATAAAAAGCTCCCAAGTAACAAATAGGTTAACAGAAAAGAATGGCGCCATGCATATCATAAAAACCCTGCTAGGCTTCTCATGTTCAGATAAATCTTAATTTTGTAATAGGATAACATCGGAGCCCCCTGCTTTGGGTTTCACAAGTGATTAGATCACTGATGTATGGGGCAGCGAATGCGACAAGGGGTGATGGAACATCACTGGAAGGCCTTAAATGACCTCTGCTACCATCTTTTTGATATAATGAGAGAAGCCTAGCTAGATTGTGCAGGATTGCTTTTATTTTACTGTTAATTTAGTGGTGGCCTTGTTCCAAGATGAGTTTAACTGAAAACAATTGCTGAAGCCTGTGCAAGAAGACCTGATGGAAGGCCTGGAGGGATGAACAACCCATCAGGATTCTGGAGCATCAGCTCTTGTTGTTTGATGTTTCCCCAGAATGATGCTGTCCACCTCTAGGCATGGCAGGGTGAGGGAAGGACTTTGTCAGACCCAGCCCGGGAGAGATGTCAAAAGTTAAAAGACCAGTCAGTGTGGATTTCCGCATCATTCCTGAGCAGGAAAAACATCATCTTCCTGCTTCTATCGGAGGGGAGTATCATGCTGATTTCAGCATTTGCAGTACCTTTCATTTGTTTCACATCCCACTTTCATCCCATTGCAAGAGCGACGCCTTTTCTCAAATGAAAAAGCCTCTCAAGATGGTAATATATAGACAAGTGAGGCCTCCCTTTAACAAGTGACAAAAACATTGAGCTTCATTTTGGGCAAGGCACCCACCTATTCATCTTTCTTCATGCTGTTCCTTTTAACACTGAAAATACCCCCAAGCTCTTGAAAACCTCAAGGTATATTGGCAACGCAGAGGTCAGTAACTTGATCTTAGCGCTAAAAAGACACTAACAGATCTTGAGGGTAAAGGAAAGCTCGTTAATGATTTTAGCAGATGAACCGGGGGTGGGGGGGAAGGGTCAGCTGGTAAATCCCATACTACCCTACAAAAGATAACCTTTGACTTCTCCTAACTCTCTGAACTGCACTGCCAGCAAACCCCTGCATCCTTGTGGGACCAATAAATCCTTGGGTGTTCATATCAGAGATCCTATATCCCGGCTGTAAAACATGAGAATCCCAAAACAGCCCAGTAGTTAAAAGTCATTGCTGATAAACCCGCCGGGCTTCGTTTTCCAGCAGGCTGGGATGTGACACTGAACTCCTTTTATTCAGAGAGGAAAAAATCCATTTATGAACTGGAATTGCAAAATAACCAAAACAACACATCTGTAGGCCAAGAGCTGCCCTCAGATATGTGCCGGCAGCTTGTGAAGTCAATGAGCATCGGGAGTGTTTATCTGAGGGCAGGGTTTGGCAGTGAGCCCCCTCTCTCCATTTATTCAGGCACGGAGCACACTTCTGAAGGCAACTGGCCCCATCCATGCCTGAGCGTCCCTCAGAAAATGAATTCTATTTAAAAGAAAATAAAGACTTGAAGCAAGTGGTGTTTGGGTTAGGAAAATCTAAAGATACTGCTATTTTTACTTTGAGGAGCAGGCAGCATCCGTAGGGAGCATGGGATGTTGCTGTTTGGAAATCTGTGTTTAAAATGTGTTTCCCTTCCCAGAATGAAGCTGTGATGTGATGAAACTGTTCCGACCAGGGAATGCTTTAACGCCAATAGCACAATCTTTCTTTCACAGGATGGTGAAAGTCCTTCTTCAGCCTCTGGATGGCTTTTGCCAGGAGCTGAAAAGCCAGTCTGAGACAGGGACCTTCCTCTTAGTCTTGGTTGCTCTCATCCCAGTCTGCCTATGACTTCGAGGGGTGAATTGCTCTGCCTTAGCTGACCTCTCTTTAAAACAAACCTCAATCCCTTCTCTTTCTGAACTGCAAACATCCATTCTCTGGGGTTTGGTGGACAATATGCAAAATAATGCAAGGGCATTTCCACATTCATGTTTGTGGTGAATGTTTGGTTCATGACCGCTGACCAGATGTGCCCAGAGGAGCAGGGAATGTGGACTCAAGCCCTAACTGGTTTCTAGATGGAGCGCAACAAGACTGATGTGGGGAGCTTTGATAGCAGGCGGTTAGACTTAGCAGTCAGAAGGTCTCTTCAGCCTTGTGTCCTCTACTTGCATTTGGGGTTTTGCACTCATTTGGTTGGATTGAAAACACACACACACAAACCCAGTTATGTGCATGGAAAAGAGAGTGTGTGATGTGGTCTTGCAGGTAATATTGCATGATTATGAGGTAATATTTATCTCCTGCCTTATATAAATATGTGAATATAACAGTGAAATAATTACTGCTGTGGAGAACATTCCTATTCACTAGGTCGATCTTTTCTTTCACCTTTACTAATGTATATACTTACTCCAGTCAACTGACTTTCTTTTTTTTTTAACCAAATAGAAATTTTAGAGTACAAAAAAAAGTTTGACAAAGGAAAATAAGAGGTAATAACTGGTAATTTCAAATGTCTTAGTTGGTTTCTATCAGTCTTTTCATACAGCTACTTCTGGCCTGGAAGATCGCCTCAGTTTCACCAAATTAGCCTTACCAGATCACCAGTGGTACTGCTTGTGGAACAGGGAAAATAAAAATTTTATTCAGCATTACACTATTCACTAATGATGGTAATGAAGAATCATGCTTTATATCATATAAACATACCAGATTCTTGTCCATCTAATATTTTCCAATTATTTTTCTTTCCATTTTCCTGATGATCATCAATGTATGAACTAAAATTAAATGAAGACATTGAAGGAGAGAATAAGTATGAAGTTCAAGGGTCATGAGTATTTGCTCTTGGACTGAACCTGAAAGGAAATCTTCCATAAAGAAGCTTTTCCTCAAAGGCCAATAGGAAGATAACAGGAGCATTAAGATGGAAGATAGGATACCTATAAAAGTTATGTTTCAAAAGAAGGATGTGGGAAGAAGGGGAAGTAGGGAAGGAAATGGTATTTTAAACAGTATTAAAGTAAGAAGCAAGTTTCCTAATTCTGAAAATCTTAATTAGTCCCCTTTTAAAAGCTAAGCAAACTAGATTAATCCCAAAATATTGCATTAAATTTGCCACACTTTTTGCCCTACTATTTGTGTGGGTAGGAGTTTCACAAAAGACCTCAGTAATAATAATCATAAAACAAGGACAGCAGCCTTACTCAGTGAACAACCCATCAGTAATAAACTGGAGTGTGTAGCTTAGAGCAACACTCCAATAACAAATTAGTTAGTGTGCATGGCCCAGCGCCGAAGGACAACCCAACAATAACAAACCAGTGTGTGCAACCCAAAGCACTCAAGAGCAACCCAACAATAACAAACCAGTTTGCATGCCTGATGGGAGAAAAGAAATTCAGCAAGGAAACAGATTTCAGTCTGAATTTTCCAAGGGGTTATTATTATTAACAACAGAGACTTCAGCCATTAATGTTTAAATTAAGAATAATACCTTCTGGAGCACAATCCTGCTCCCATTGGCTTTAATGGGACTAGGAATGGACCCAAAGTACCCTTAAGGGGTTTAGGCAGTGAGGAGAGCAAAATTTCACCTGTAACTAATGAGCCCACCATGGCAAATGGAATTTTTGTTCATCTCCGCTGGATAATGTGAGCTGGTCTTTGTGGGGAGATGGAAACTGTTTAAGTCCTGGCATCACGACTGTGCTTGTGGTAACCTGCTCTCAGATGCTACTGAGTTGGACTAGGGTTAGATCATCTAAAGCAAGGATGCCTTTTCACCTCACTGTTTTTCTACCATGATGAAATTCCCAGACGGGTCCTCAGATGGGATAAAAGAAGGCTACATCCTCTACTCAGACAACATAAATCATGCCTTATTGCACGAACCCCCTTCCAGCATTCCTTCGCAAACACACACACACCCCATTATATACATTATGGTGTAAATATATTATGGTTACTTTTTCAAGTCCAAATCCATCATCTGGGCCTCCTTGTGCAGAAACCTTCTGCGTCAAAGCTAGCTCCCCCACACTCCACTGAGCAGTATCTGCTTCCTGAGGTCCTGAGCACAGCCCCAAAAGCTCAGACCCAGCCAGACTCTTCGAACATCACAGCTTGAGCTCATCTCTGACACAGTTTATACCTCCCAGATGCAAGCTTATGGAAACTGCAGACATTTATCAGAACTGTTCTTTAGCAGAAGGCATGGTTACTTGGAGACAGGGTGAAATCCAGCCTGAAATATGTTCTTTAATAAGTGAAGATATTATTTATTCCCTTGCTGCCTTTCTTTTTTTTTTTTTTTGGTGAGAATAAGACCAGCTCCATCCTTTTCCCTAGAAGCATGTCTCAAAAATAGCCCCTGTTGTCAGTCTGGGGTCCATGGGTAACAGGCTGGACAGAGTCACTTAGAGAAACAGGAGCAGATCCAGCATCCCGTGACTGTGCTCCATCAAACACAGCTATTCTGTCTTGATATCTTCTATCCAAGGGAGCTGGGAAAGCACCTTCATAAAGAAGATGTTCTGCTGATGAGAAAGACAGGAAGAGATATTAGTAAGGCAAGGCAAATGCTATAGAGATCATCTGAGAGCTTTCTTTTTCCCCTTGAAAGACATAATCCCTAATGTTATAAACTGTGGTTTGGCTCCCACGTCAATTTTGCCCACCGATTACTGCAGAGTGAGTCTTGATTCGGACCAGTTTAACTGGAACCAGAATGCAGCTGAAGGTGCTTGGAAATTACTTTCAATCATCAGCACTCCAGAGACCTGGCTGGGAATGTAGCAAATAGATCAAGGAAATTAAAAGGAACATTGGGGTCGCTACTAGAGGTCAGGAGAGAAAAAGAAGAGTTGACCCTGATTAATCAGAAACACGATGCTGTTGAGAAGAGAAAATATTTTGGGGGTTAGACTGCTGGCAAACAACAGCAAAATACCAACAAATGCCATTGGCTGGATTTTTCCCTTCCAACCAAACCAGAGGAAATTCCTGAACTGACAATGAACACGAACAATGAGTGAGTCAGTACCCTCAATGCCAGAAATTCTCTGGATTTCCTAGCCAGACTGATGTCTTTGGAAGGTCATAGTGATACAGAGATGCATTTCTGTAAAACTTGGGGGTTGAAGATAAGCCAAGCCAAGGCACAGATAATGAACACAGAAATATTCCAACTACTCGTAAAACCTCACATCTTTGGTGAGAGGAAAGACACATTTTCTCCTTCATTCTTTCCTAAATTGATTGCTCATGTATAGCAATTATCTTGCTATTAGTTTTATATAAAATGTGCTCAGATGCTGTCTCTGGTGGTGAAACTGTAAACCACCTAAAAAGAGAAGTGGGAGGATAATGTAAAGAAATCCTGACTATAAATGCTTTTAACCTATCTACTCTGATTCCAAGATTTTTTTGTTTTGTAAAATGGGGTCCTGGCAACCCTTGACACCAAAAATGTTCTTTTTTGTCAAGAATACCTTTGCCCTGCTGTGCTATGTCCTGGGATCATTCATGCTTACCTCTAATAATCACCAACATGATTGTAGATAGAGTGGCAGAGCATAGAGCTAGTCTCAAAAGCAAACCAAGTACAATCACGTATAAAAATAAGTCTAATCTGTGCAATTGGCATAAGGTCACAAAATTCAGCCTGCTAGTTGCTTCTGTTGAGTTTGGGCAGACCAGTTTACCTTCTGGACTTGAGGATGGCAGATATGTGTTGACATACTGTCACCAGCTCACTGAGTGCTCTGTAGGTGATGTAAGCCCAGGAAATGAGGCAGAAGCAGGCAGCCAGAGGAGAATGTGATCTTTAAATCCTAATGGGAGTCTGTCCTCAGGGCAAAACATTACTTTTTTATCATATGTTACTCATCTGTTTACTTGCTATTAATTTAAATAGAAAACTTTTAATGCTACCCATGGGACATGTTTTTCCCCCTGATAGCTGTAAAGTCCCTAAAATCCCAGTTCCCAGTTCTGATCTCACACTGTTAATACCATTAACACACACGATAGGTAAAGGCTTTGGAGATATCCAGACACAAAAAAATATATACACAATGTGACATTATTGCTACAAATCTCACTACTTTCATCAAGTATCAATGGAGAAGTGACCTCCTTGCGATGCAAACACAGCCAGAAACCACAGTCTCAAGGCCCTCTTTCAAACTGAAATTTCCTAATCTCACACTACTGTACCAAACACACAAATATGCAACAATGGATGGAAAGAAAATGAAGCTTCTCTGTATGACCATTGGATTAGAAAGGAATGGTTGGAAAACCTAAATTATAGTAGAAGAACATTCCAGCTTAGGGAGTTGATGACTCTGGAGCTCAGCTTTGCTCCTGTGGTTTACAGTACCACCAGACTGGATAACCTTGCACTGAAACAGCTTCATCCGCATTATCTGCCTGTTATTTTCCTCCACCATAATCAGAGCAGCTACTGTTGTTGTTAGATAAAGATGAAAAGTTAACCTGGGAAAAACAAGGTAGTTTTATTTTTATTGTTTGTTTATATCTAAAATTTCAAAGGGTACAGTGGGAGCAGAAGATATCCTCTGGAACATGCTGTCAGGAACTGAGAGTTGATACAGATGTATTGATTTAATCAGCCTGTATGACACCATTTATTTATGCAAAACATCTGTGACAAAAATGTGGTACTTTGAAGGCACAGTGATATGCGCCTGGTCTCGTCTTGCACATGAAAATGTGTGATAAGAGCATCCACATAGCTTGGAATGGTCGATTTCAGGGTGTATTTGCTTTACGTACCACCTAATTCATGTTATGCAGGGTAGCTCAATGCCCAGAGAGACTATAAAAGCTTTTTCAAAGACTGCAGTAAATTTTAGATATTAATTTGAAATTGCAATCCAGCACACCAGATTGCAATGGGCAAAGAAGTGGGGAAGCACAAATGTTAACAGAAAATGAAAAAAAAACAAAGAATGTATTTTTTTTTTCTGGTATCCATTAGATACAAATTAAAGAGTTTTTTAATCCATGGGAAGGCAAAGCTTGTCTGCAAATTTAAGAGATTGCATGATTGAAAAGAATATGGATTTGTCATCTCTTAAACACAGCATGAGAAAATATTTGGAGTTCATATGTTCACTAGCAAAAGTTTACATGATAAATCAGTAGCTTGAGTGCTTCCAGAATACTAGTACATATGAATGTGTTGAAACTATTGTTTCTGTTGTCTTTTTAATGCTACTGGGAAGCTTTTTGTGGTAAAGCAATAGCTATTGCCAGCTACATTATTACAGTCTCAGTCGAACATCTGCAATTACTATGGAGTAAACGGTTCGCATCCCATATAAATATAAAAAAAATGAGGAACAGATTTCACTATTATTCTCTCTCTCTGCGAATTCTGTGACATTTTTTATTGTTTAATCGTGCCTGGGCAGTTTAAAGGTCTGGGAGAAAAAGAAGCCAAAGTGCTCATACTAGTGATGGCTAAACATCAAAAAAAAAAAAAAAAAAAAGAAAAAAAAAAAAAGAAGAATTTGGTGGTTCAGAAAAATGTCAGAAGGGTTCAGACGATTATCAGAAATCCATGGAAACTCTCTCTAGAAATCAGATTTTATTGGATTCCCCTTCTCTATCTTGTTCAGGTGCTGATTCTACCTTTCCATGTACTTCACAGCCTGGCACTCTTGTGTTTCAATGTCCCATGACTGTGCCACTACAGCCACCCACTCTTAACAGCATCATCCATCACCCCACTTCTTACATTTTCGTTCTCACACCCTGTTCCTCAGAGCTGGGAGGACATCCTACCATAAATACCCGTCCAGCTAACTTATTTCCTTGCTTCAAAGCTCTCCTTTAACATTTTGTTTCTGCCACAGTGCCTAGAAAGAACAATAAAATCCATAAAAAAATTGGGCTTCCTGGAGGGAGGAAATAATTTTGCCAATATTTCTGACTAATACTGACTTGCCTCTTAGTCTGTGCAGGCTGTCTTAGAAGGAAGGCCTTCAGTGAGGTTGCTCAGACAGCAAAGGGCATTAAGTACACTAAAAATTAATCTTTCACTGTATTTTAAGTGTCTTTAGGATTGGCTCTGTTGCAGAAGGTGGACCTTGTGGTGAAGACCTGATCCTGACGGGGTTGGCTTGGGCCATCCAGTGAGAGACGTGGTGCTTGCACTCACTTCTTCTGGCACAGTGTGGCTTTGAGGCAAGGCTTAATTTGTGGGAAAGCCCGAGCCAAGGGTGGATTCCAGCCTTTAAAAACATATAGGAAAAACCTGCTTTTATGGTAGTGCCAGTTTGTGTGTTTCTTCGGCATTGCCATCACAACCCTGGATAGACATTAGACAGCAAGCCCTCGATGTGACGCAGTAAACCCTGATTCCATACTGGATATTTCTAATGCCAGAAACTACTCCAGAAGTAGCCAGTGCAGGCCTTAAAAGGCACAGGATTTCCCAAATGGTTTCACATCTTCAAAGCACTATGTAAACAGGAGCTAATTAAACTTTAATGAATTTCTTGACAGGTAAAAGGTTTTCATTTTGCTTTTAGCTAATGCTCATTCATCGCCAATGGAAATCACCTAAGACCCCAACCAAAACACTCTCAGGGTAAACAGAGTCTGCTTTTCTGCTTATATTTAGCTAAAAGCCGAGTGAACACATTTTTTGCAAACATATTTACTTATCCTTTTTTAAAAAAAATAAAATTCCTTTTTCTTTCACTGCACAAAGATGAATAAATAGCAAGCTGGAATGAAATGACAGAATATATGTAAAACAGAGGGGAAAGGTTAAACACCAAAGTGAAACCGGGCACTAAAACAAAAGTCCATTCTCAGGGTGTAAACAAAGTGTCCGATCCTTTCATCAAAAGTGTTTACAGCTTATTTTTGTAACATGAGTCTAAGTGGATAATGCAGCACACAGCATGGGTCGATGCATAAATACGTTCCTGTTTGTGATTTTAAAAATCATAACATTCTTTGAAATATGAAAATCCTGAGTCTTGATACAATCCATATTATTGAATTGATGCCAGCTACCTATATGTATTTGATTAGCTTGCAGCAATCTAAGGATGTGATAAAGACCTGTCTTAAGAGCACTGTAAGGTGATAATGAAATGACACAAACTGTGCAGTGATTCAAAAAGGTGCTGAGTGTTTCCTCCTTCCATGCTCAAGCTTCAGTGGAAATGCTCAGTCTTCAGGTTCTTTGGAAAATTAAGCTATTTAAGAGCAAGGAGGAGATGATTTTCAGAAGCAAACAGTGACTTAGAAAATTAAGGATCTTGAAATAAGATCTTGATCATGCTGACATTAGCAAGGAAAAGTCCTGATGCCTGGAGGAGCTCCAAAGCTTCATCTGCCCATCTGCTTTTTCTATCCAGCATTTCAGTGCTGAGAACCTTCTATCAGTTGTTTACAGCCAAAATCAAATAGTAGTACAACAGGTTTGCTGATGACCTCTTCTTCAACCTGCTGCACAGTTTCTGTTGGAATAGAAACCCCCAAGGACACCTCA